GGGTTGGGTGCAAGGAGTCCCGGGTTTCGGCATCGGTCTCCCTGGACAGTGGGCCCTTACGTCTGACAGGCTCCGGCATTGCGTGGAGATCACGCCGGTCCTTGGTTCCACGGGGGGAACAGTTAAAGCTTCACAGAGGTTGCTCGTGAGCATTGTATTCGAGGTTTCAGCTTGGTTCCGGGTCCTGCTAGGAACAGGGTCGGACCAGGGTCGGACCAGCTGGAGCTGTCTCTGTGGCCACAGTGCTCCTGGTGTGGCAGCTGGCCTCCCGTGGCTGGGACTCTGCCCACCAGCTATTCTCGGGTGACTGTCTCATCACCTGTCCACAGACAGCGCCACGAATCAGAAGGGAAGGAACTGAAGCGCTGGGCACTGGGCGCTGGGCGCTGGGCGCTGGGCGCGGTTGCTAGGGGCTTTGGTGGCGTGTGCAGTCTGCTGACACGTGCCGCCAGACATGAGGCCGGCAGCGGGGCACGTCTGGGACTTCAGCGGCACTGAAGTGTCTCTCAGGGACCCAGGTCTGCGTTGGGAAGGCATCAGCATGTTGATCCATAACATGAAGACAAAGGCTGAGCTTGTCATGTAAGCAGGACACACCCAGAAGCCACCTAACATCACGGGATGAAGTAAAATATTTCACGTGAACATCAGGAAACTCATACGTAGTATCGCCACCGTCATACTGATCATCACCGTCCCTGCTCTGCTCTGGGGTAAAAGCGCCATGTCTGGGTAAATGGCGGTGGCTGTGACTTTGTCACAGTTCTTGTCCCCTTGGGAGCTGCGGGCAGCCCCTGGTTCTTTGGTAGAAATGTTCACTTCTTGGTCTGAGTTGGAATCGCTTTTTCAAACTTCTGGGAAAAGCGAAAGTTAGTGTTATTTTCAAAACAGCAGAGACGAGGTTACAAAAAGTCGAGGGGAACTTGCGTAACAGAAACTGTAACCTAGACCTGCCCGGTCCGCTCACCCGGATTGCCCGAGGTTCCCTGGCGGACGCCCGGCGCTGGGGGCCACGCAGAGGAGCCGGAGTTCCCGGCGTGAACGGGGTGAACGGTGCCCCCCCGAGGGAGGAAGGCGGGTGGACAAAGCCGCATGTACACGGCGTGTTACCCCGCCCTTGCACACCTGGGGGTCATCCACGAGCAGACAAAGTTATGGCCACTGAGGTACGTGGACAAGCGTGTTCAACGCAGCTTCATTCATTGGAGCCCAAAGTGGGGAGCGACCCAGATGTCCGGGTGAACGACGACTCTGCAGACACGTGGAATGTTGTTCAGCTGTAAGGAGGAGAAACCACACTCGACGGCGGCGGTGCATCTGAAGCAGGGGCCGAGCGGAGGAGCCCGGCACGGGTGTGTGCCTTGCACTTCCTGAGTGTGACATGCAGGACACAGGTGTCATTTACGGAGAGGGAAATCAGGTCGTCTGGGCTGGGGCGGAGGGGACGGGGGCAATGTGGGGTGACAGAAAGGTTCTTGACGGGTGGTGGTTCCCTGGACGCACACGTCCGTCAGGTTGTGCGCCTCACGGGTTGGGGGAAAGACATTTGAGAACCGTGAGGGTGGGGCGGGTGTGAGAGGGTGACCGACTGTGACGTGACGTAGGAGAGTGTCGTTCTTTGCGTGGGGCTGGTAGTCAGAGGGGCGGGCGTCACCAGGGTTTAGCAGAAACCAGATCTCATGCACACGGGCGTGCGCACGCGCCGCAGCGGGCCACGTGTAAGCAGTCATGCCAGCGAGTTGGGCACTGGATTGATTTCTGTTGCTCTGTTCTTTCAGTTCTGGGGGTACGTTTGAAGTGTTTCATAACGGGTCTTGGGGCGGAGGAAATAAAGGCTCCGTGTAGAGTAAGACGCAGGAAGCAGTTTCGGCTCTGCGACCCCAACTCCCACGCTTGTACCGGAAAACAGACCACGTGGAGGAGCTTCTCAGGCCATGTGTGTGTCCCAGGGATCCCCATCTGGTGTTTGCTGGGGAACACACGTGTCCATGGGGGGGCAGTGAAGGCATGGTCTCAACTCCTGTGCTAAGCAAGGTCTTATGGGCTGAGTTGTGTACCTCCAAATTCATATGTTGGGGTCCTAACCCCCAAGGCCTTCACCTGATCGGGTGAGGCCCACCACACAGGGAGGGCATCTCCTTCCCTCAGCCTCCGGATTCAGATGTTAATCTCATCCAGAAAGACCCTCAGAGCCCCCCCAGGCTACTGTTCAGCCAGTGTCTGAGCACCTCACAGCCCAGTCAGGTTGCCACGTGGACCGAACCGTCGAACAGGTTTTCAGTTCCTGCGGGCACCTACGCGGGGTGAACTAGTAATTCTGCGTCTCACTGTGGAGGAGCCCACGCGGTTCTCCACGGAAGCGGCGGCCCCTCATTCCCAGCAGCAGCACAAGCCCGCGGTCCCCCTGCTGCCTCCCAGCGCTTGTTATTTTCTGTTCTTGTTTTTGTTTTTAATTTCGTCCATCCCAGCGGGCGCAAGGGAGGCTCACTCTCGGGGTGTAGCTGACGGGACAAGGAATGGTGCTGACCAGCTGTGCTCTCAGTGACGCTGGGCTCCGTGTGATGTGACACCGGCGGCCGGCAGACGAGGTTGCCTCCTCGCAGGGCGCCGTGGCGACACCCCTGGGCTCTCGTCTCTGTCCCTTGGCTGTGTCGAGCGCTGTAGTGTGAAGCCTGGGTCCCAGGTGGGTGGGCGGGAGGCCCACCAGGGTCATTGTGCCCAGTGGTTCCTTTCTTGTCTCTGCACCTGACGTGGCCTTTGTCCCCACCCCGCTGCCCCGGCTGGTACAGGGAGGAGCCCCTGGACTCCTCCGTCGCTAACAAGCCGGGAGAGGCTGGGTTTGCCTACTTGCTGCCCGTACCCAGCAGCCTTGGAGGGCACGGGGCTTAGGGTGGTGCCAAGAGGAAATCAACGTCCCGGCTGAGGACGAGTCGGGGGTCCCTGGCTGTTCAGCTGCACCGCCCCCAGCCTCCCTGCAGAGCGGTGTCACTGAAGATTCCCCACACAAGCGGAAGAGACGGTTTGGAGACGTTTAGTTAAGAAAGGCCTCGTGTGGAGTTGGCTGGCACGGTTGTGGGGTCTGGCAAGTCTGGCATCGGGGGGGCAGGCGGGGACGCCAGGCAGGAGCTGACGCGCAGTCTGCGGCAGAATTTCTGCTCCAGGAAATCTCGGTCTCTGCTCTTAAAGCTGCCGAATGATTGGAGAGCGGCCCACCCAGGCTGTCGCTGAAAGTCGGCCCAATGGGGATGTGTGTCCCCAGCCCGGCCCCTGAACGCCTGGCTCCTCTGTGGGTGTGGACGGCTGGCTGCCTCGGAGCCCTAGGTCTCCCCTCGTGGGCACTGCCCTCCGGTTCTGGTTCACGTCTCCCGGGGGACCTCCCGACCTTCCCGGGGGGACCTCCCGACCTTCCCGGGGGGACCTCCCGACCGCCCCAGGGCACCAGCTTCACCTGCCTGGCTGCCCCGACATGTCAACCGTCACACGGCTTACTCGCTTCAGTCAATGGATCTGTAGGGCTCGAGCCGGAACCGTCACCCGTAGGCATTGGTCCTGATGCCACCACCTGGTTGTGACACGTGTGGTGTGATCCTTCCCCGAACTCAACTCCGATGAGCCTTGAGTGCGTCCTTCAGGTCCCCCTGCCCCGTCTCCTGCTCCGCACTGGCTCGTATCTACTCAGAATGGGCTCCTGGGGGTGCGTGTCGGAACCAGTCGGGCCTGGTGGGAACATGGGACAGTCCCCAGGGTCCCCAGGCTCCTGCCACTGCACATGTCACTTCCGCATGGCCCTTCCGGGTACAGGTGCTGCTCACGTGGATTCTCCCGTGGAGTGAGCCTCACCCTCCTCAATTGGCCAGGGCCCTGAGCGGGGCGCACACGGGGTTGGGGAAGTGAGAAGACAAGACTCTGCGTGGGTTGGAGGGCTGTGGGGAGTCACGGCTGCTGTTTGAAGAGTCCTGATGGTCCTGCCATTTGCGGCAACGTGGGTGGACCCAAGGGCATTCCACTAAGCGCGAGACATCGACAGAGAAAGACACGCACTGTCTGGGCTCGCTCAGATGTGGTATCTCCAACACCGAACTCAGACGAGGACATCGGATTGGTGGGAACTAGAGGCGGGAAGGGTCGGGGAGATGGGAGAAGGGGGTGACGGCAGGAGCCTCCAGCTGCGGGGTCACACGTCCTGGGATGCAACGTACAGGGCGGTGTTGAGCTGGCGCTGAGGTGTGTATCCGACAGTTGCTGAGAGAGTCGATCCTGAGAGTTCTCGTCCAGAGGAGATGGTGTTTTTGTGACCGAATGAGGTGGTGGGTGCCAGCTACACCCGTGGTGACCATTCACAGTGTGCGTGAGTCACCTCATGCTGCTCCTCCCCTCCAACAGAGTGGTGCATCCACTAGGTCTCAGTGGGGCTGAGGCATAGCTCTTGTTTTTATTGCTTTAAATCCTCTCCCGGGGATATTTTCCCATTTATCTTCAGAGAGAGTGGGAGGGAGAGAGAGAGAGAGAGAAACATCGATGTGAGAGAGACACATCAACTGGCTGCCTCCTGCAAGACTTTGACTGAGGCCAGGGGCTGAACTGCAACCAAGGCACATGCCCTTGACTGGAATTGAACCCACAACTCTTTGGTCCACGGGTCGACTCTCTAACCGCTGAGCCAAACTGGCTAGGGCATAGTTTTTGTTTTTTTAAAAAAGAGCCATAATGCTTGGTCGGTGTGGCTCAGTGGTTGAGCATCAACCCTGCACCAAGAGGTCACTGGTTTGATTCCCGGTCAGGGCACATGCCCAGGACGTGGGCCTGATCCCCAGTGGGGGCCATGCAGGAGGCGGCCAGCCGATGTTCTCTCTCATCCATGTTTCTCTCTCTCTCTCCCTCCCCCTTCCTCTCTCTCTAACATCAATAAAGAAAAAGAGCCATGATTGGGCTCTTTGCTGTAAGGGCGTGGAAGAGGCCGTTCTGCCGTGGCCACCGTGACCTCATGTCCTCTCTTGCAGGTGGCGGTCATTGCGGGCAACTTCGAGCTGGCAGAATACATCAAGAGCCACAAGGAGACCGACATCGGTAGGTAGGCGCGGGAGCCCGGGCCGCGCGGCCCGACTGGCAGAGCCGGGCTCTCTCGAATCCTCCTTGGTCCCGGGTCCGCGTTGAGCCAAACGTAACAAAGCATCGTAGTGACGTTTTCCGGGTGTCTGTTCTTGGGTATTTTTTTAACGCGTGGCAGGGTTGGGGCCCAGGAAACCCTGACATGTTAGGGAAGGACGTGGGTACAGCAGATGCGTGGATGGCGGGCGTGGCTGCCCAGCTGGTGAACCAGTTAATTTGAGACTCACCTGCATGGTTTTCTGGAAGATTCTGTCACACAGCCTCCACTCAGAGAGAGACGGCCTCTCTGCCGTCCCTCTGCACCGTCCCACCGTCCCCGGCGATGGTGCTGACGGCCGTTCCCCTTTCTAGTACCCCTTGTGCCAACCAGGAGGACTGTCTCGGGGGCCCCCCCTCCCCCCTGCCCTGCCAGAGGCTGGGCCCAGGCTTGCATCGTGGAGGAGCCCGCTGGCCTGTTTCCTCCGGCTCCGGCCTTGCACCGGAGCTGCAGCGGGGAGCAGGCCCCCTGGACCGGCAGCGGTAAGCTTTCCGCGCAGGCGCCACGCCGTCAAGGGGGTGGGCGGCGGGCTCCATGGCACCGAAGAGGTGACCGATGGCATCTGTGTCTTCCTGCCTGCACCCTCCCCCCGTGTTCCGTGTCGGGGTGGCGAGACCCCGTGTCTGGCTGTGGCGTCTGTGCCGTGTGCGTGCGTGGCCGGCCCCCGCCGTGGGGACGCAAGGCTGCAGGCGAGCTGCGCGGGCTCCCGCGCCCCCTCTGAGCTCGGCCTCCCCGGGCTGCCGCTGCCGGCCGAGCCAGGGCAAATCGCTTCATTGCTCTGAGCCCCAGGCCCGCACCCTGGTGGCATCAGCATCTCCGTGGGCGCACGAGAGAGATGAATGAGCTAATGTCTGCAAAGTGATTTAGAAAATGAAGTGTGCTCTCCGAGTCCCCGCCTCCCTCATTCAGCCGGCCGCACGGCCAGGTCCAGCCACCTCTGCTGCGAGGCAACGGCTCCATTCAGCGGAGGAGAGGGTGGTGAGGTCCCACCCGACTGTGGGAGTGTATGGCCCCCCGAGCTCCGTGGGTCATAGCCACAAGCTCGGGCCTACACTCATGATCCTTTTCTGTTTTTTTGGTACGTGCCCCTAGCGGGAACTGAACCCGGGACTCTCTGGTCCGCAGGCCAGTGCTCCAACCGCTGAGCCAAACCGGCCGGGGCTCACGATCCTTATTAAGCACCCACCTTGATGGGGCCCAGCAGCAAAGGGAGGTGGGGAGTGCTCCCTTCTCGGGCTCTTGGAATGGAACTAAGAAACCACAGACACACAGGCCTTCAGGGCCACCGCGGATCTAGGGACCAGCCCCTGTCCTGGCCCAGAGAAAACCACCTCGAACACCATCCGGCCCCGGAAGCACGGCGTTGATTTAAAACCCAGGTGGGGAGACCCTGGCTGGTCCCTTCCATGTTAAGATACAGTAGCTTTCCTATCTGGGAGGCAGACGCCTCTTCACAAACAGAGGTTCTTGCTTATTGTAAAGTGATACCTGTTTGTCACGTGGTTACATGTGAGTTACTGGTAATACATGTATGATGTCGGGGGAATACATTCTAGTTACTAATAATACATGTATGATGTTGGGCAAATACATTCTAGTTACTAATAATACATGTATGATGTTGGGTGGATACATTTTAGTTACTAATAATACATTTACGATGTGGGGTGAATACATTTTAGTTACTAATAATACATGTATGATGTGGGGTGAATACATTTTAGTTACTAATAATACATGTATGATGTGGGGTGGATACATTTTAGTTACTAATAATACATGTATGATGTTGGGTGGATACATTTTAGTTACTAATAATACATGTACGATGTTGGGCAAATACATTCTAGTTACTAATAATACATGTATGATGTGGGGTGGATACATTTTAGTTACTAATAATACATGTACGATGTTGGGCAAATACATTCTAGTTACTAATAATACATGTATGATGTGGGGTGAATACATTTTAGTTACTAATAATACATTTACGATGTGGAGTGAATACATTTTAGTTACTAATAATACATGTATGATGTGGGGCGAATACATTTTAGTTACTAATAATACATTTACGATGTTGGGTGGATACATTTTAGTTTCTAGCAATACATGTATGGTGCCGGATGAATACATGTTAGTTGCTACTTACCGTTCTGACCAGTGACCTAGGGGAATTGTGAAGGGCCCACCCTCTGGAGCTGGGGGCTCCCCCAGGGCTCCAGCGACTTCTGGGGCACAGAGCTGGGACTGGGGCAGGAGGCCTCTCCTGCTGCACCTTGGAAACCTCTGGGCTCCCGGAAGCTGGGGGACCCTTGCTCCACAGTCAGCGAGGCAGAGATTTCGTGCGCCTTGTCCCCTGTCTCGTGGGCTCCCCAGCGCAGTTCTGGACGGGAAGGGGGGCCCCAGCAACCTGCCCTTCCCGCGGTCCCTCAGCGGCTCCAGAGGAGGGGGGGCCCCCTGACTGCGGTCTGTGGCTGTGACTGGGAAGCTGCGGGTGTGCACTTGTCAGTCACTGCTGCGTTTTTCAGAGAGGAGGTGAAGGCCGTGAGGCGGGGCTCCCTCGGGGTTCAGACGTCACGCGATGCCTCGGTCGGCTCCTGGGGGAACCAAGCCCTCAGGCCATGTCCTACGTCACTCCTTCCGTGGTACCCGGGGACAATCCTGCACCGGGATGTGGGGGCTGAAGGGATGTGGGGTTGCCCATGAAATGCTGGGCACCAGCTCCCAGGAAGCGGGGTGTTTCGTGGTGATGCCTCCATCACCCACAGGAAGGGCAGCATTCCGACGGTGGGCACGCACCGACATGGAGCAGCAAGGCTGGAGGAGGGGCTGCCACGGGCTCGCCCACCACACACATCCCACCAGTGACGAGGGAGACGCGGAGCTGGGGGTCCCAGGGCAGAGAGCATCACCTGGAGTCAGGATTCTCAGTGGGTTCCCTGCGGGGGGGGGGGTGCCTTCTCACCAGGTGGTTCTGGGCCCATGTTCGATTGTGGTCTCCAGTCTGTCATGTGTGAAGCTCCGTGGCTCCGTGGCTCCGTGGCATTTTGATTCAGCCTCTGTGGCTTGGCTCCCTGACCCAGCATCATCCGTGGCCTGCGAGGCGTCGTCACAGCCTGGCTTGGTCAATCAAGGCTGAGGAATCTCCCGCTGGCTCCTGGCCTCTTGGGGGAGGGGGTCCAGTGTGATCGCTGGAGGACTTCAGTGTGACCTCTCTGTGTGACCTGTCACTGAGCCTCAAGAGTTATGGCGGGACTGCTGGAGAGGGTGGGGGTGCGGGCTGTGTGTCTACTTCATGATCGTCAGTATGTCTTGACGTATGAGCTGCTCTTAGCAGAGAGGAAGCAGGGACACTGGGGACTGTGTCCTGAGCAGGGGCTGCACCCTGAAGGGTGGTGGGTGCTCTCTTTCCTTTTTTCTGGTTAATCCTCACCTGAGGATATTTTCCCCTTGAATTTTAGATAGAGTGGAAGGAAGAGAGGGAGAGAGAGAGAGAAACATTGATGTGAGAGAGACATTGACGGGTTGCCTCCTGCACGACCCTGACCAGGGCCAGGGATTGAACCTGCAACCCAGGTACATGCCCTTGACCGGGAAGCAAACCCGAGACCCTTTGGTCCGAGGGCCGACGCTCTGACTGCTGAGCCGTACCGGCCGGGGGCCATGAGTTCCCTTCGTCAGCATCAGCGGGGCTGGGACAGCATCGCGGCCCCCCCCTCACGCGCAGGGGCGCTGAGCTCTAAGGAAGGCGGGACCGGCCCGCCTTAGCCTAAACCGTGCGGGGCCGTGTTCCTGAACACGTCCCTCGTGGGGCTGGGGCAGCTTTGTCCTGCTCAGGGCCATGTGGACGTTGACAGCATCCTCCATGGGCCCTACACCTGCCCACTTCAACGTCAGCCCGCTGTCCTGGGTCAGGCTCGCCGGGGAGGCAGGTGCTGTGGGCTGGCGTTGACTGCTCGGGCCTTCCGTGGCCCGCGGGCTGGCCGGCCCCCACCCCCACCCCTGCGAGGCCCCAGCAGCCGCTGCCTGGGAGCCACGGGTCCTTTGTTTCCCGACACAGACGGACAGACGTGCGCAGCCTGGAGATTGGGGCACTCCAGAGGCTGCGATGTCACTTGGGGGGGAGACCGTCCCCGTGCCGGAGCCCAGCGAGGTGACTGATGGGCGCCCCGAGGTCCGCGGGATCTGGACAGGGACCTGGAATGCCACGCGGGTGCAACTCTGTCTCTTTAAAAGGGGAAGAGATGACAGCTTGTCGGGAAGCCGCTCCCCAGCCGGCCGGCACGTACGTGGCTCCTAACGGGTGCTGCGGGTCTGTTTACTTACACCCCCACCTCTTAGGGAAATTAACCGTGACCAGCGCGGAGCAAGTGATGGTTTAAACCCGCAGCGAGTGCCCCAGTTAATCCCTGCCCGCCGTCCTGCGGTGCTCAGCTGTGCGGAGGACGGAGCCCCCCAGATCCGAGCGCTTTGCCATGAGCCGTTATGATGGCTTCTGTAGGACAGAGGTCCCCGAGAGCCGGGCTGTCGGGCCGCTGGGGAGCTCGCGCCCGTAGCAGCCGTGCAGATACTAAGCATGTCGCGGGGTGATGAGCTCTGCCCCGGGGTACCCTATTTTTTGCAGCCTCTGTTGTTTCTGTTTTTGCCCGGCTTCCCGGGGAGACGCACGGCAGATGGAGTGAATGACATGGGTTGTTCCTCTTCCACTGACCAAGGTGCGTCCCCGGCGTCTCGTCCTTCGGCCGCTGTGGAGAGGGGAGCGAGCGGCTCTGCTTCCCCCAGATGAGATGCGGCGGGATGTGTGTGAGTCGGGGTGTCTGAGGAACTGGCGGAGGGTGCTTGGTTACCGTTGCTAGGTTTCAGAACCCAGCGCCTGGTGCGTTGGAGATGGATGGATGATGGGAGGGGAGAGGGT